TTTTTTCAATTTGAACTATGTATGTTACAGTATTAAGTAGTATTAGTGTAGTGTTACAGTATGTTAAGTACTATTTCTGCAGTCTATCAGCGTAAATCCATCAGTGAAATAAATGTTAATTTCTCTTCAGTACTTCCTTGATTTGTTTTCGATTTATATTACATGATTTTATTACGTTTATGAACAATTTGCTCTTTATTTTGGTTCAATAGCAATACGGTAGAGTATAACGTCAAAAATAAATGATGTAAACAGGCTACGTAATCGATCCACTGCAGATGTGCAAAGATAAAAATGTTTACACATGTACCATTGCCATATGATTAGCGATAATAGTATCTAAAAAATTCTATTTTTACATGAAAGAACGATTTAGCTAATCATCTGACTATATAAAGCTGCTTGAAGGAAGCTGCTTAGCAGGAAAAAAAACTTTGTACCAGTGAAAGAAAACATAGGTCTGCTTTCATGAGTTTTTGTCTGTTTTTTGATGTGCGCAAGTTCGTGATCAATTCACTAAAAATCAGAATATAATATGTTAGGAGATACTGAAACCTGAAGCTTGATTCACATTTTTATGCCAACCATTTCTCGTCATAGTTCATATGATTGTCCGCGCTCTCATACCAACAAAAATAAAACAGAAACCTTGAAGTAATTGGAGCTGCCTTGTCAGCTAGAACGGAGCTGTATCGGCTTTTATATAAATGTAAAACTGTACTAGAATTCCAACTTAGCTTGCCGATGAATGATGAAAATATAGATTGCTACGTTCATGAGCATTCGTTCGTTGGCAATAGTTCCTATCTCTTTCAGAATATATTGCGATACTGTAACGGAAGGCCCAGACATGACTTATTTTTAGGGCTCGGCACGAGTTGGCTTTCCGAAAATGCAAAAAAGAAGTCCCCCCCCCTCCCTCCCCGACTTTCGCAAAATTTGACGAAGTCCCCTTTGCCCCTTATCCGAACATCCAAGCCGACTATAAAACCTTAATTTCGGACCCACAAAGTTATCCCCTTTGCTTTTCGTCCCAAAAACGACATCCAGCTTGCTCGCCACCTGTGCCTGCTTATTTTTCCTTGAAAAAGTGACATCATGTTTAATTAGATCTGTATGATGACTGGCAACCAACTGATTCCACAATCACTGTTATAGACTGTGAAGTTCAATGTTTCGCTAGATGTTTTGCTTTCAGTTGGAATACGTAAGGTCGGATTGATGTAAGCAACTGTATTTTGAGAAAACCTCGACCCCTGGAGAATGTTGAAAAAATGCTTTGGCTTGGGGCGAAATCACACACAGGATCACAGCCACTGTTTTCACGAAGCTCAGAAAAAAAATGTGAGGAATTCTCGGCACAAACTTTTTTTTAATCGATGGGGGTGGGGGAGAGATGTGAATGTTGAATGTACAAAAGTGCTGAGCACTGATGTGTCCGCTAGACAGGCAAAGAAGCAATAACATGCTACTCACAAAAGGATAGTGTTATTTCTAATATACCATTGGCACTGCTGGAGAACTGGATGATATTATACAGGGTGTCCCAAAAAAATGTTTCGAACGTTTGATCGTTAATATCTCTCTTCCCAAAAAGTCTTTTGCCTTGCTTCAGGTACCTTTTGTAGAGCTGGCTTCAACTTAGATTTGCATTATAAAACGAATAACCCATCTCTCTTCATTACTGTAGGATTACGGTAGAAACTTGAAACATATGGTGTCAATATGGAAAAAGCTGCCTTTTCAAAAATTTTCAAAATAATGTGAAAACATGTGTAATAGGGTTTTTATGGACCCTGAGTTCAATGCCAAACTATTCACAAGATTACGAAGCTTTCTAAAAGGTTTAATCGCACTTTTTAAGAACATTGAAAAAATGGCCGCTACCTCTTACCTGGCATAACTCTTCAATGAAGCATCATAACAAGTTGGGAACTTTACAGTTATAATCAGCAACTCTAATTAGCCTAGTGTAAAAGTTTTCAGGCTGTTTTTTTCTTTTTTGAGGCAAAATATGGCCTTTCATGGCTCAAAACCCTCTTTGAAGTTTCTACCGTAATCCTACAGTAAGAAGAGAGATGAGTGATTCTTTCTATAATGCAAATCTAAGTTGAAGCCCGCTCTACAGATTGGTACCTGAGGCAAGGCAAAAGACTTCTTGGAACGAGAGATATTAACGATCAAACGTTCGAAACATTTTTTTGGGACACCCTGTATATCTATCAATACAACGCTGTGTTTAGGTAAACTTCCAAACCCAGCAGACTTCTCACTTCTAAAAGATTAAGTTTGTCTTGAACAGGATTTCATCTGTGCAGAAATTTTTACTCAGAACATCCCGAAGATTCAGTTTGTAAGCTAGAACTTGCACATAAGTAGTGTGCTGACAACAGTGTCTGTGCACTGCCTACTGTACGGGTCTTCGAAATGGCAATGTTTACCTTCTTAATGTGTTTTTTGCAAATATCTATACTCTCACGTCAAGCAGATGAAAGCTGAGACTACGAACAGAAGAATCTCTTTTTTCATATTACAGTCCTTTGAATGCTGTAAGGACCCGCAGTTCTTGTTTGTTTTTGCATGTGTATATCAATTTTTTAGGGAAGCACCCCATCAAATGGATCTACTACTCCTTGTGAATTTCAGATTTTCGACTGACATTTTGATTTTATTTGGTGATTTATCCCTGAGTAAAGCAGGAGGGAAAATTTATTATATGTTGAAAAAAGCATATTATGGGCCATTCTAATATTGGAGTTCGGGGTTACGGTACTATAGGAAGATGAGCCTGACATTCATTGAGTAAAAAAGAAACTATGAAACCTGTGAATTATTGTCAAAGTGAGACTTTATTAGGTCGTTACAAAAGTTTTGTCACACTTAAGGGAAAAAACGTTCATACTTACTCAAAAAATTTTTCTCAACTCCATTGAGTTGGTGGTTATATCTTTTCAATATATGAATGTCATACAAAATGTGATTTATGAATTTTTTACAATTTTTCTAAATTATTTTTGCAAAATTTTCAACTTGAATTATCGAGACCTAAACTTCCGAACTGCCTCCATAGTACTTAAAGTTCCCAGAAACTCACGAAAAATCTGAGAGCATGAAAAATAAGAATGAGAGAATTTAAAGGAAAAAGGAAAAATTGAGATCTCATTGCCAACAAAATTGCTTTTATTTTTACTGTAATGTATATCTGTAAAGGTGAAGATGATGCCAAAAGATAGCCCCTTGTAAACTACTCATATATGCCAAATGTTAGATTTAGATAAATTTTCTAGAGTATTCTAGACTAAAACGAAAAGTTTCACAGAACTCATGTTATCAACTAATACTTTGTGCACCTAGCATAAACTCTTGCTCTTCTGTTCTACTAGATCTTAATCCTTCGGACGGCATGTTGTCTGTTGGACACTCAAGTAGAGCAGAGCGATCGCGAGTTGCGTGAGTCGCCCTCAGCACTTGGAGCAGAACGATAATGTGCCGTGATTAGGGGCGATTGGCATCGCCGCGATCAAAGCGACCGGCTGCGGTTTCGTTTACATTCGGATAGGGCGGCTAAGCACTGCAGGTAACAGTTACCGGGGGTCATCGCCGCCAGCCACGCCCTCTTAACCTCCTCTATCGGCACTCGGCGCTCTTCGGCCATTCGAGCACTTGTGTTCTGTTCGTCGTCGTCTGTACACGGGGTTCCCCGTACTCCAATGTTCGGTTCTGACCTAGCTATAACTAATTTTTTGGATATTTTCAATGAAAATTGTTGGGAACTCCAACCCTACAAGGGAGCCTTTCTAGTCGACTTGTCCTTTCCGCATGACACCAATATCATTTTGTAGATCATTGAACAATGATTCCAAATCTGTCTTCTTTTTTCGCGGAGCAACTTTTTGAGGTTACGAGTATTTGAAAGTCTAAATTTGGTAAGCCTTAAGCGGCACCAAATTAGAGGAAGGCTGTACAAAAAGACATGCGCAAACTTTCGCAGGCTCTGTTCCTTTCTTGTAGTTAATACTTCATACAAGTTTGGTTAGCTACAACCAGCTGTTTTTGTACAGCTTTTCGTTGATATTTTGGCAATTATAGCATGACGAATTTTGGTTTTCGAATACTCATGAAGTCCTCTGGAGAATTACTCCGCAGAAAAGTAAGCAGGTTGAAATCAGCGTTCGAAAACGCCTCTAGCGCTAAAGATTTTTGGAAAAGACCACTTCCATTAAAATGGCTTGGCGTCTTGAGAGCTGTCTGTTTGCTTTAAACTGATAGTCTTAGCCAAAAAATTGCCCTTTCATTACCACAGTAGGCGGAGTGACCACTTCTTACGTAGGAATCGTGAGCTGCTTTGAGGGTGGATGTGCGAATTCGAGCCTAAAGTGGGAGAATTTTGTGAACCATGAATTAACCAGTTGAATGTTGAATTCCCCCTACTGGCCCCTGGCGCTTTGATAGTAGAGACAAAATAAACTGCGAGCATATTCTAACGGCGGCAATACATCTGATGCTCGTTATTGATAGTGGTTTCAATATTCAATAGCAATATGCTGTACTTTCTAGCTTGTCACTCTTGTTCCATAGAAATCCTTTTTTACATTGTGGACAAACTGTGAATTCTGTTCCAAACTACAGCCAGACGTGTATACCGAATGATGAAATTTTTCAATCACACATTTCGAATCTCAACAAAAAGTGTACTCGAATCCTATATGCTTCAAAATGACAATGACAGCTGATGCAATTTTGCAATTTCTATTTTACACAGATATCCTAAGTTTACGAAGATTTTGAGTCGTGCGCCCTTTCTTAGGTTTTTAAGTTGTTTTAGAAATACATAATGACCTGAAACAGTTATAACCTTTGTTCTCTACGCTGTTTTGTACTTTTTTTTACATCATTTCTTTCTCAACTCTCATGTCAGTCAACTCTCATGTCAGTCATGCTTTCATATTCTCTAATCTTAATTCCGTTAACCTCAAAAATACAGCAAAAAGTCCAAGCTTGCATTTTCAGAACAAACATGATCGACTACACTATATTTGAGTGCGAGATTGAGCCCACTTATGGAAAAGGTGGCACTTCACCTGCTCCGGAAAAGGTCACCCCTTCGACATCGAAAGATCAAGTCTTACTAACGATCCGTAAACATTTGGAGCAGGTAATCTTTGCCGATTAGACAGCATATCTAATCGCATCATTTGCGGCAGTAGCCAAATGGGTGGTTGATAAGGTCTTGTAACTAATAGAACACTAGTGATTAGGAAAAGGTCAATGTTCCCTTCTTTGCACTGTCCTATGTTTATTTTGTCTGGGTTAGCTAGTTTTAGAAGTCTTGCTTAGATAGATAAAATATCTTTTTTCCCGTCTAACATATCATTCTTGAAACTCTTTTCGTGGTTAAAGATACCAGCTGAAGGTATCAATGTTAGCATTCTCAAAGCAAAAAAGATGTCCTGGCAAGCATTCTAAATTAGGCTTCAGAGATCATCAAAGAAAATGAGAACGCAAACATAGGACAGGGGTCTAAAAAAGTTTTGAGAATGAGTGAGAAACACTTCCCTGTTTGAAGGGCATCCTCTCTTGAGACAGGGTACGATCGTAGGTGGAGTAGGGATAAAAGCTGCGCATATTTAGAGTAACAGAGCACAAAAGCTTGCTAGATCTACAGAACAAGTTTTGTGCTTATTACAGAAATAGAGAAAGGGCATTTCAATAACATATCATCCTTTTCAAAGAGCTTTAATGCTGACATTTCTACATTAGTGGTACATTTTGTCGTCATTTGATTAGTACAGAAATGGCTTTTTTATGTGTAGAAAATGAGTATCACTAATGTCCAAGTGTATAGAAAGTTCTTACTTTCAATGTAGTTCCTTCAAATTGAAGGTATAATTTTCTCCTGTTAGCCTAGCCCTGTTAGTTACATCCTGTCTATCGATAACTACAGGCAGAAGGGTTTCACTAGCCCTATAAACTATGATAACATGCACTTTTAGCAGGAAATGCTTACCTAAGAAAATAAACGCGAACAAATTTATGATCGTGATTGAATATAAGCTTTTGTTTTGTTTAAGACAATTAGACCGCGACCAGTGCCTTTTTTTTGCGAAAAAGCGAATTAGATACCAAAGACCACGACCTTGTATGACGAATTCGGAAACGGATAAAAAACACTACAATAGGGTAAACAAGTTACTCAGAGTGTAAATAAAAATCTTGCGGTTATGCAAACTATGACGATTCAGAATGCTAAAAGTTTATGCCTGATTATCTACAAATTCACGTTCGTAAACTGTGTTTGTGTACTTTAGCCGGGAAATAAGAAACAATAAAGAAATCTTGGTTACTGAACGGGCAAAAGTTTGAAAATTTGGAGAGTTAATTTTTGAGGTCCTCTTCCTTAGTTTTTAGACTGAGACTGAGTTTTAGTCTTTGATCAGACCTCTTCAATAAGGGAGGAAAGCCTCTATAGACTTTAGTGTTATCTCGTGTAAATTGAATTGTCATGAAAAGCAATTCAGAAATATATTCTAAATGAAAAGAGAATTTATAGGTCTATGAGGTTGACAGAGTTCTTTTATGGAAGATGAGCCATTGCACGGCATATACGCAAATGACTGAAATTCTGGCCGGTTTGAGGCTCGTCAGAAAACTCGAATGTGCTATTCAAAAGCGATTATTTGAATATGTAAGTGATTTACTTTTGTGAGCACGCTGTTCTTGTAAAATCCGTGATTTTTTTTCAGCTGCAAATACCAGAGTCGATATAATTTTTTCAAGCGAGAGGGGAATCTTGATCTCGCTCAAGCACCAAGTGCCTACGACTTCTTCAAATTGTATATAATCAAAGCTTGTAATTATTGCTTTTCTAAAAGATCGTTGTATAGTGGATGGAATGTGAATTATGTGGGAATAAAATCGTAATACTACTGTTACTGTTTTGCTTCGGCGTGGGACGGATTGTATGTGGACACAGAGCTGCTGTATCGACCAGGGATGGGATCAGAATTATTTAGATAGCGGTGGCATGAAAAGACAATACAAAACCATCGATTAGTGTGTTCGGGGTCCGAGCTTGTATTACCCGAGTTGTTTGGAGAGCTGCCAAGAGCAGAGCCCGTTCGCCTCGACCGGTTTGCCCTTCACTCCACCTTGTTCAAAGGTCAACATCATGGCTGGGGCTCAAGTGCTGCTGTCCACAGGTACTAGGTACCAACTCTCCTTGCTGGTGCTCAATTCTGTCTCGACTTGCCGCTGATCTGCACAATTCTCACACTTGAGACTCAACTGTGTCCTTCGACGTTCCCCACAGCCGTTCCATTGTCGTTCACATTTACCCAGACATTCACACTGCTATATTTTTGCCAAAATCACATCACCACCAAAATAATATTTGTACAGCGTGCTCAACGATTTTTGCGATATTGAATGACGACTTTTTTATGTTGGTGAAGTGCAGAAAACATCCTTGATTATTTTCTTCCAAACTTAGCCGAATGAAGCAAGAAAACGATCTCTTTTCTAATAGCTTTTTTGGCGGCTAGTTTTGCTGTCGTACTTTGGGCTATTTGGCGGAATATTTCCATGACCGCCAATAAACTCGAGATAATAGGAATTTATTAATAAGCCCGCAGAAAGTTTAGTTTCGGGTTCAAATTTCACTCTCCATAGTATGTGTAAAATCATAACGTCAGCTCAGTGCCCGTGTCATAATATTTGTACTTGTGATTGATTTGTAGAATTTAAATTATGCTTGTGAAATTTTTTTCAGGGTTTCCCTGTGCTAAAATTTCGGGGTTACGGGCCTGCAAAAATTTTTAGAAGCTCTCAAAACTTCCGGAGTGCATGGCTTTGGCCACGCAATTTCATACGAAAAATTCTGTCCCCCTCCATTTCCGAACAGGACTATGGTAGCGCCTCTGTCAGCTACGTATAATCCGAAAGCGGTTGAAGAGGTTTTGCAAATGCTAGATGAAAGCTTGGCACTACAAGATTCCGCTGTACGCAAAAGGCTGAAGAAAATAGAGTTTTAGCAATGTTGTAAAGTGCCAAAGAGGACACCAAGATTTGGGAGACTGTAGAAGAAATTTCTGGTCCACAATTATACACATAAATGATCTTCAAAAAGCCCTATATCGCAGTTTTGCTGAAATATTGATTTTGAAGTATAGAAATCAAAATTCAAAATGTGGGCTTCTAGTTTTTAAGGTGGTAGCACCAAGCAGTAGTGTATGATAATGCGCTCATATTTCGACCTTATGAATAATCCACCCAAAGTAAAAATCTTTTACACAGTAAGATTCCAGTGAAGTCAAAACTTCTTTTTGGCACCTGGTTTGACCTCTTTATCACATGATAATAGTAAAATGGAAGTGCTTGCGAACTTCCTCTCCCTCGCAGCAAAACTGAGTCATCCAGAGTCCAGACTCAAATGTCAGAATATGTTCAGTCTTTCTGCTTCTAAAATCTCCACTCTGAAGTCTTCTATATGTTTCAAGCCCGATTTCAACCTTTCACACTTTCTGCTTTCGAAGTCCTCGCTTTCACAGTCTTTTGTACGCCTTTAGCGTTCCAAAAGAGGTAAAAGTTCGCTTCCCAGATTCGTTGCCTGTCCTTTTTGAACCATATTTTACGCAAAATAGATATTGCTTTTTGAGTGAATTAACAAGCTCAAAAAATCGAGGCTCATTTGCAAAAGCACCTCACTTTCATGGAGATGTTGAAAGAAACTTCCGCATTCCATTTGAACTTTTCTTTCACTGCCACACGGTAAACAAATGCAGATTGCGCTTTGAATGTCTCGAATAAACGTGAGTCATTGACATATTAAGTCTCCTCCCAGCTGCTTTCGCTTCCAATGAGATAAACAGCGAAAAGTTTCTGCAGAGAGAATACTGAATTCTTTGTTTATCTAGTGCGCAAATGAGATGGATGCGGTTGATAATTCGACTGTCATCTTCGACTTTCGCCCATCTCAGGCTTGCATAAGTGAAATAATTTCGAATAAAAAAGCCTCAGCCCCGAGATCGTCTCGCCACTCGACATTATCACAGATCTGACCTTCACATTCTGTCCTCGCTATGCCCTGACGGGGATGCAGACATGGGGGTTTCAGCCCCGAACTTCGTCCTCGTGCAAGGGTGATCGCTCATTTGCACCATGACGGGCGCAGGGCATGCATACCCCTTATCGCTGCGAGAAAATCAGGACCGTTTCGGTTAGTGTCAACTTGCAGACCAATAAATTACCCCGAACTACGCTCTGTCGACGACGCAGATCGCTGCAGAACGCATTGCTAACCTCTAAGGTCGGCTACTGATAAGCAGCATCGGGCCCCCGTATGCAGACGATTCGCAAAAAAAAGTAGCGGGGAAGGGTTGCAATTCTTGGCCAAATGCCAATTTCATGGAAACTGGGAAATCCTTCGCTTGGTAGACTCTGCCGTTTTCTAGTTGAAACCTAGTCTGTTTATGTGATTACGTGATGATTAATTATGTGATTACGAATAATTACGCGAAGACGAAATCGCGCTGCCCCGAGAATGGGACACAAGATTTTCGTTGCTTGAATGAGCTATAAAACTGTGTAAGTGACTCATTTATGCTTAAAAATAATTGCAATAATTTTTAAAATTTTTCAAAAATCCAAGTTAGCCTCATGAAAATTTTTTTTTGGGAGGCTTGGCTGTCGATACTATCTACCTTTTCTAGAACCTCACAGTTGTGGGCTCACAATTTTGAGTATCCTAAAACAGTTTCAGGAGCGGGTGACTAACGCTACGCATCTTTATTCAGAAAATTTTTTTGCTCCTCCCCTAACGAAAAACCGCCACTGATGACTGACGTAGTGTGACGTCACCGGTCGTTCTGTACCAATTAAAGATTACAAGCAGAGGTGAGTCAAGTCTTCAGTCAAGTGATAATTATTTTCTGGTTGATCGGAACTACTTTACGGCTCTCCCCTCCCCTTCCTTATCTGGCGAAGTCTCTTTTGTAGCTTAACCAAACTCTCTTTTGTAGCTTATCCACATTTCGACTTGTGAAGCAGTCCCGTTACAATTCGGCAGAGCACCCAATACTTTCAGAGAAGGTTCTTCTTAAAATACCATTTTTCTCAGCAATGGGCGTATAAGGTCCTAGGTATACCTCTCACGATCTCAGTCGCCACATGATTTGACCATTCGCCAGATATCTTCAAAACCAACACTCGCAGACCACAAATGCTTGGTGTATTCAATTTTTGTGAGTCAATGAAATATGCTATTTTCAGTGTGCTCAAATTTGATTTGTTACGAGTCATAAGCAACTGGAATATTGCCAAGTCGCGTTGCAACTGAAATCGCATGAGGTATGCCTGGGGCCTAAAGCGATCCCACTCCTCGCCGTATAACACGGTGTGTAGGAAGGTTACTATGTCAAAAAATAATGACATTTCCCATTCTCCGTCGTAGGGACCGAAAAATGCGTAATAGACACTTTTTAATAGAGCAAAACAAGCTCTACAAGATGATCACCACTAATCCTCATCCAGTAACCTCACAAATATTGATTCGTTCTATAGTTGGAAGCCAAAATCTAAAAAATTCTTTTAACTCAAACCCAGTTGGTCTCACATTTAGTAGGCCTACAAACTTTCGTATGTACTCTTGCTGCAATATTTTGGTATTTCAGGAAGATAAGAAAAAAGGCAAGTATTGGTAATACGGGGATCCCTCTCACTTGTGTATATATTACAACCTTTCAAGGTATATTCACAGATTTGAACAGCTTGTGGCAACTCTTCCAGGTGATATCAGTTTTGGCTTCAAGCGCTTGAAAAAATTATTCTCCTAACAACCAATATGCATTCTAGTTTATTTGAAGAGTGCAAAAATTAATCAGACCAAAATCGTGTTTGATCACAAACTTGTCTGGCATGGAACGATTTTCGACTTTCGAAATAAAATCATTTTCGTTTATAAATGATGATGGCCTTTTGCAACACCAGATTCATCTTTTTATACCAAAGTGAACGCGCCAAAACTCTTATATGCACTCAAGAATCTCTTTTTCCCTGTTAGATGGCTGAAGGGGGGGGGGGAAACGAAAGGCCATTCCAAGCACAGAAGCATAGCAACAGCGATACACTTCGTTCTCTGAAAAGAATATCTTCGTGGCTATTTGTTAGTTTTATTTGCAACTAGATTCGTGCCAGTGGGACAGCAATTAGACTCAAACATAATTTTTTCCGCGAATCTGACTGGTTTTCAATATTCAGGTTCTGGATGAGGATTAGTGGTGATCATCTTGTAGAGCTTGTTTTGCTCTATTAAAAAGTGTCTATTACGCATTTTTCGGTCCCTACGACGGAGAATGGGAAATGTCATTATTTTTTGACATAGTAACCTTCCTACACTCTTTTCTTAAAAGTGCTGTTTTACAACCACATCCAAAAAAAGAAAGAAACAGTACTACTAAAAATTCCCAGAACCGGATCTATAAAATGATATGAGAGCCTGAGTGTAAAATTAATCACTCATCCCAGGGAACTAAATTCTTGTACAGAATCGCCAAACTTTATTTGCTGTGTCATCACGAAATTGCTTTTGGCAGACACCGTTTTGGTTACTGAACATTGTTCGCTGAAAACTTTCGATGTTCTATTAATAGCGAAATAACCACTGCCAAGTAGATTTTCGTCACATGCTAGCAACGCCGAGTTCACGTGAAAACCTCGTCGCGTTCAAAAGAAGAAACCAGAAAAAAACTGATGAGCTTATAGCACCGAAGGTTTTTGACCTGAATGTGTCTAATGAATCTACCAGAGCTGATAGAATAATCCGCTTTACTGATATGAATTTATGCGTAAAAAGTATTCTCATGTGATTGCCAAATCGTTAGCTGTCTACAGCACAGTTTGGTCTTGTGTTCGTAAATTTCAAGAAGAGAATTACAGTAGAAAAGCAAATAATAAATAAGTAATAAATTCTAGTATTTTGCAACTCACCGAAATTGCTCACAACATTTTTACCACTCTTGATGAATCATCGCAAGCATTGCTTTCCTGTCCAGTACTGATTTTAGCATGGAAGTCACAGCAACAGAGATTTTTTGAGGGTCCTACCTCATTTGCACAGGCGAAAAATATGGGCCCATGGGGTGAGTGTTGTGGTCCATATGTGTCTCACGTCATAAGCGTTTAGTTTTGCTTATAGCAGAGTACTCATAAAATAATAAGTAACTAAGTTCTTAAGGGTATGGTGAAGAGTTAAGGAGTCCTAAGCGCTTGATTTTTTCTCGTAAATTAACAGTAACTTTTCTTTAAGGTTATGAAAAGATAGTGTGATGAGAACTCCTACATAGAACACATTCACACTCTGTTAGCCTGATGATCTCAAAATAATTTGTTACTGGTTTTATCCTAGTCGCGCACTCAAATTTTGACTTCTACACCTTCGTAATAACTTCACGCCCATGAAAAGCTCGGCAGATAAGGTCAGCTGATATTAATTCCGAGGTTTACGCTCTTGAGATAGTATACATTCATTTTGATAGGCCTCATCAAGCAACTATCCTTCCTTATGAGATGAAAGAAAGTCAAATTGACTAAATAAGCGTTATTGTTTCGAATTTATTGGCAGATTGTTCACTCTTTCCTATCCGTTTTACCCCTTTCGTGTTACCCGAGATGTCCCAAGGTTGAAAATACTCCACCTAGAAACGAGCACACGTATTTACGACAGCCGCATATCATTCCAATCTAGAAGTATCGTCGTCGGAAACGTTGCGATCTGTCGGGCGAAAAGTTTTATGGTCGTCACGCTGCAACGGGGAGCGGGATAACCCGAGGTTGTCGTAACACCCATGATTTCCCCCCCCCCCCCGCCTCACCTTCCCCCGGGTGATATCACCGCATTCCACTGCTCTGCTGCATGTGTGTTCGATCGCTGAACGCGAGATGAGAACGCCTGGCCGGCGACGCACGGGCAACTCCGCAATATTGCGCAACAGCTACTCCATCGTACACAACCAGCATCGGGGCGACGAACGCGGACGGCAGCGGCGCTCCTCATTTTCGAAAATGTGGCTCTCCGTGTCGAAGTCGGCGTTTCGCAGCCGTTTTCGCACCGTTTTCTTCGTCTGCTCTCGCGATCGAGACCGTTTCGTTCACACAAATTGCGCTCGACCTTGGCAAACGCCGTCGGGTTTTCTTGCTTATCAGGTGGTCGGGTCATGCGCTGGCTATCTGCCATTTTCTGGCAAATGTGCTCGCCGCTCGTCTCTTTGCCATCACTATCGCGCTTTCGCAATCGTCAAAAACCCCGTTTGCGATTTTGTCCTTTGTCTGCCTGTGCTCCCGCATCGCCCCACGGCCCGCACAAGAAAAGCAGTTCAGGAATAAATGGCGATCTCGATCAAGCGTGTGATTTAGAAGCGTTCACTAGCCACAACAAGGCTATCTATTCCTTCCCCTGAAATTTTTGCGTTTTGAAAAAGTTCGTCATTTTTAATTTCTAAGCTTCTCAGGAACAGATGACATTTGTATCCTATAGGTTACAATTTAGCTCGATATTGTAATCGCCCTGTGTAAGAATTCATTAGGTCTTTTGGGATACAAGAATAGTTTCGAATTTCAATTTTATTGGTTATCGTTTTTTCGAAAAGGCTGTTTTGCGGTCAGAAAATTTTATGCTTCTTTTCTTAGGGTTGACTTCAAACTTTTCTCCAAGACACAAATAACCAAGAATTTGAATTGTTTGGCCCGCTAGGTCATTCCGGAGCTCCTATTTCAACCCGTATTTTTCTTCGTCTCCATGTTTTGCACTCGCTTATCTGCATATTATTAGTTTTATACTAGAGTTTCTTAGTTGATTGAGGTTTCCTTTTGTAGATTTCTTTCTTTACGCACTTATTTTTCCATAATCCTTCATTCCTATAGGGGTAGGGACACTCTACCAAGCCCCTATTGCATCATAGTTGCACTATCGACAAATAACTCGGACATCTAATCGAACTTGTTTCTAACTTTTGACGTATGGATGACGTAAAAATTCTTGCATTTGCACCGGAAGGTGACTCGTCTCTCAAATGTTTGGCCCAAAGAGCAATTTCCTCTGAAAATAGAACGATATCACGAGTTATCAGCAGTAAAAGGGACTGATCACTTGTTTCATTCTTAACCACAAGTACAGCTGTGTCCAAATGCTGTCCGTCAAAAATGTGTTGTCTCCCACTCGCCCACCCATTGTATCCGGCTTGCAGCGTTCTGTGATCGCATCAGCTGATATCAGCAAAGTGCAAAACGGCTTCTTTGCCCTCTCGTTGCTCTCATAATCCGTGCATGTGAGAGAGCGCTGCGACGCTCAACACCTTTTATCATCAATATCGTTTGACCATAAAATTGTTGACAAACTCGAAAAATCCCGTGCAAAAGTCAGGCGCGATTCGCGCTTTCAGTTTGCCATAAACAACGGCGTTATCGTGCCAGGAAATGACGCGAAGCTCGCAGGTGGCGCGATATCGTTGCACGATTTCTCGTCTTCTTCACGTTTTGAAACAGTTCCAAGATAACATCGAAGATTTTGAAAAATGTTACACTTTCAGCGTGAATAATTGTCTTGATGAGGGTCACGCTTTCGAGTAGTGTCGATGTTACTGTTACTCCAAAGAGAGAAAAAAGAAAAGGATAAAAAATTGAATTGGTCTATCTAGTCTTCCAATGCTCCTGAGGGACCAAGGGACCAATTCTTCTTCTCGTAATGTGTGTTATCATCCTTTTATAGCTATGATAAGCTGTCATTCATTAGCTACTTATTCACATTCGCAACGAATAATCTACCATTCATTCTTATTCTCTCATTTACAATTCTTTTTAGTCGAGAATCCTATCTAACGTGATGCTCATCCGTCTCGTTTTTGATGCATAGCCGCTAATGCTATTGGGAATTTAAAAAAATTATCCTTTGCTTGTAGTGTAAGCAACATCATAATATCACAAAAATGCAGGCCGTTATAAAGTCGCAGGAAATGCCGTCTTCTGACTCATTTTTCCTTCTTCGCTTTTTGCAAAGCGTTCTTTTTTACGAATATCAGTCACGCCAAGTTGTTTCTTTGAAGATGCGGGATTGCCGTAGTGGGGTGTATTTTTTAATGTCAAATCAGTTGCTCACACAATCGCTTTTACAGTCTGTGTCAACGCTCCTTCCGTAGCAACTACGCATCCGCAGTGCGTGTGTATCACAGCGACCTCCGACCGATGCGGCAAATGAAAGCTCAGGCGGTATGCTCGCGAGTGCGGCACGGGAGACGTTGCGCTTAGGCTGATCGGAAAGAGAGTACATCGTTGACACAGACTGTATATCGAATTCGATGTGCTGATAGCTAAGACGCTTACAAAAGCCAAAAAATTTGGAGAAAAGTCAGATACGCTATATCTTGCTATACATATCTTTTGGATGAGATGTGTTCGATGTCAACGAACTTTACCACTCTTCGTTTTTTGATTGGGATCTGGATCTCAATTGTTTCCTGTTATGACAGCCTCTTGAATGTTCACCTAACCGCCTTTATTCTAGTAGTTTGACGTTAATTCCGCCACTGCGGTCCTGACAACATCTGCACGTAAAAATACCTATGCGCACAACTTCTGCGCGCTATAAATGGCTACAAATCGTAGACTTTCGAGCTTCGCGCCTCAGCGTCATATTGTACTTGTAACGTCGACATTTGCGCGTGCGAATTGGCCATAGATCTTTTTAAGCTTTGCCTCTTCCCTAGCGTCATCACTTACGCGCAAATGTTGTTGGCATCGCAGGGGCACTTTATTAATCGTCGATTCACCATTACACAGGGACGAACGTCGATTTGTCGCTTAATTTGTTTGTTGAAGGTTATTGAGTATTTTCAGAATGCAAATAACGTCCGGCATCATGGCCGGAAACGCGGCGACGTCGGCATGCGCCGGCCTCGGCAGCGAGGTCGTGCCGGCCGTCGTCTGCTACTCGTATGACGCTGCCACGACGTCGTCGATCAACTCGCCACACTCATCGATGGAGATCGCTGCCACGGTAATCCACTCGTTCCATGTTCGAAGTTCCACTAGAACTCTGCAAATGCATAAGTGCACGGGCGGACGGACGGGGGCCAACCCAAGGCCGACGGCCGTTTGCACTTTTGTTCGGAAAGTCGGACGCGATCGATGTTGCAACATTTTCAGAAGCAGCAGCGGCCAAGCACCGCCTCCGCTACGGACTGCGTTCGCCGAGCAGCCGTCGATCACATTTTGGAGTACTCTACTAGTGCTACATTCACTGAAAACTGCACTTCTGACGCCCTGCAAATCGCCAGGGAACAGCTTCGAAAGGTGAGCACATGCTGTCCTTTGCACTGTGGATCAGAACGGGTTGTCTGCAAAATGCATCAAAAATTTTGCATCGGCTTCAATCAGTTCAGTGTCTAGATCAACCTGTAGATTATCAAAAAGGACTAGGACCGTTCTTTCTGGACACTTATGTAGGAACGTGTCCAGGTGATGATGTAATTGTCACGGAGTGCGGGAAGGGCGCCAAGAATCAGTAATGATAAGAAGAATGGTGAGAGAAGCGCTGTAAAATTCTTGGTAAAACCATCCTGTGTCTTTTGTTAACACTGGGTGAGAAAGTGCATTGGGATCCATTTGTTTTCGTTTTTTTGCCCATGCTTAATGAGGTTTAGGGTATTGGAGCTTGCATTTTATTTTCCTTCTTTAATCTAGCACTTTTCTTTCTTCATCCATTACTGCAGGAAACAATAGGCTGATTTGCAAAGATTCTGACAATGTCGGAATGTAAAATTCAACGAATTGTAAAATGATAAATTTTATATGATACCTAGGTACCCTCACACCACATGATTTATTCACATTTTTTCGCAAATAATGAATTTTTGTAGGATTCTAGCCATTATTCTCATTGACTCTGCACATTAACGCTTGTCTCTTAACTGTGACGATTTATAGCTCGCAATCCTCTTATGTATCTTCGTCTTTTTTGCTCATCTCTTCTGGCGCCACATCAACATTCTTTTGATAGCGTCAGCATTCTTTTTCTGAGGCACTTTTGATGAGATCACTGTAAGTTCAAAAATCATTTCACATAACTGGAGCAGAAAACGGTTTTCCCTAATGTTGATTCCTAGTATGAATGTTGCTATGCTTGCGAACCAATGCATCTCGATTCAAAAAGAACGAACTTTTTAATTCCCATGACTCTTATAGTTTCGATAATTTTTACAGCATCCATCGAAGTAAAGTATCAGTTTTCTTCTCTATCTTATGCTTTATTATTGTGAATTGAATTTTCCTGAATATAGAATTTTCAAACGTTGCCAGTATGGTATTGAATACCCATCCGTCGCGAAAATCTTTTCCTTGAATGTTGTGAGCTCGCTGCAAAGCAAAAAAAAAAAGTCTGACAAAGTAATCTTTCTGGTGGTTTTTGTGGTTTTTGCATAGAGCGTCTAATAATAACTGATTGGAACTTCCCCGTAAGTCGTAACAGAAAATTGCTTCTGATGACAGACAGTGAAAAAGGGGAGGCTTATAGGTAAGAAGCTATGAATATAAGCTTCTTACTTTTGCGTAATAAATCATCCCACATTAGCCTTATATTTGCTGTCGACATTGACAACTCTAGTAATTTCTCAACCAACATGAGCAATTGTTACATTTGAGAAGTCTGTCATCGTATGAGCTTTTCTGGTCTGAAACCACTTGCTAACGCATAATCTCTGTAATTATCTAGATTTGTTTCTCATCAAAGGCGGGGGCAGTACTTTTTTTTTCTAAGGTCTAGTGAGTCAACTGCATTGTTGACAAAGAAGCAGTGCCGGTGGTGATGCGTCTGACTGTTGGCTGCGTTGCAAAATCTTTTTGAGAGGTTAAAGAATTTTGAAAAGGTTATAACCTTTATAATTCGTCCTATGAAACAGAATTCGGAGTTCAAAGAAAAGCGTATTGTTACACCAACTTATACGCTGACACGTTTTCCGCAAAAAAAAGATTTTTTTCCTTTTGTGTCGCTGCTCTTTTTCAACCATGTAAAGTCATAGTAAGCCGTGCATGCCACTAGTATCGCTTCGCTTGGTGATGCCTGTTCAGCGCTATAAATAGAATGACACTGAAAAAAAATTGTGATATACAGCGAGTACGAGAGGAATCATTTAAGTATTTGGTCGATGTGTCATCAGATGTCTTGCTCTGCTTTTATCAAAGCAAGTAAAGGAAACTAAGTAATGCAGAAGTGCAAATCACCGCACTTGATGAGCACTCAGGGTAAATTATACGTCTAGCGTTTACTCAAAGGATGAAGGACAAAAATCTTCTACTTCCCTTACGCAAAATGTTAGGAGAGGAGGTGTTCGAGATGCAGCTCAAAAAACTGTTCAGACCCTCTTGATTTAGATAATTTAAGACCATTCCGTTTTATCAACTTTTCGTTTCAGATCTACATAGCTGAGGCATCACTTTTGCGGAATATGGAGGAGTGCAGTAGCTCGTCAGATTTGGATTCGTTGGTTGAGGCTCTGCAACGTTTGAGGAATTTTGAATCCGATGTCCAACGACGGTTGTTCTCCCATGTTAGTAATTTCTTTGATTTTTTTGTTACTGAGAGAACTAGTATTCGCGCTAAAATTAGTACGGCAAAGAACATCATAAGCATCATGAGCTAGTCATGTGAACCATTTTTGAAACCATTCTAGGGTGGGAAAAGAATCGCCGTTCGAAGTTGTGGCGAAGGGAAAATATCTTTTTTTGAGATATTCTCGCGACATTTCTCCAGTCATCTTCCTTATTTTGGCCGAAGCTTGAAATATTTCTGTGGAAGACTTTTCACTAGTGGCGAGCTCCATTCCAATGCGACTGCGCATCCGCGTTGCAGAGATTTTGCGCGGCATTTGTGTTGTAAAACATGTGCCGGCATCATGTGAACATCTACAGTTCGCATTTTTTTTACAGTAGAACCCTGAATGCGAAGGGTGAATAATAACAATTTATCGAAGGGAAGGCCTATTTCCTAGGACCAAGGGTTAGCAAAATGTCCAGCTATACCCCTGCGAACGTGACGTAAGGGCTTCGCAACGCGGTTGCGTTCCCATCGCAGAAGGGGGACACCGCTTACAAAATAGACGCGTCATAAATATCTGAAAATAGCAATATTAAACGATAGAGCTTGCCTAAAGTCCCACATATGATGAGACCCCACCCACTTTTGCTGCTCATGTGACGATGTTTTTCCTTCCTGCTCTGCCTACAGTAATCATAAAGTAATGATGGTAATGGTAATAATAATACAATAACTACTGTCTCCACTGCAGTACTGGAAATTTCTTAAGATGATCTTCGAATAGTGATTACCGTAATTTCTCAACATTATCGCGCCTGAATCAGGTTTTCTTATTTCATGATTTTTCACGCACCTCACATCAATCATTTCAGCTGCGACTGCTACAACCGTGACATTCCACGCCGATTCTCCACTCAGAACTATCCATGTCTCGTTCACCTTCCGCGTCTTTCCGTGTGTCTCTCGTGCAGGTGGCATTACACTGAAAGAAGAGTCTGGCGCAGCGGCGACGATACGCGCGCGCGCGCAACAGACTGTCCTGAGGAATCTGTCTGTACATAGATGCTAGTTTTGAAACACTCAAGTGTGATTCGACACTGTGATAGTACAAGAGCAGTGCCAGTTCATATTGATTCTTACATTAGTTGATTGTCACATAATATGCTAATAATTATTCATCATTATCACATCGGCGTTGGAATTTTATCAAAGTATGAAAAAATGAAGAATATGTTGTCAGCTGTGTTGTATCTTCAGTAACAAAAATTATTTTTTTACGATTTAAGAGCATGGTCTAATAATCTGACGCGTAATATACTGTCAGTGCATCGCCGACAACTTCTGCGCGTAAAAGTGAGGATTAAAACTCGAAGTATGCGCTCAAACGTTGGAATTTCTTGCAAGGGCGTCGTCAGAATAGCTGGGGAATCATTGACCGAAATTACTAAATTATGGGACCGCTGAGTAATCGCGTATGTAGGTAGACCAGGGCTGGGGACAGCTGGAACCGGGTTAAGCTGCATATAGTTTTTGAGCAGAAAAGTAAAAAAGATATGGTTCTTGCGGGTTAGCATGCCACTGCCTGTTAGCATGTGGGAGGCACACCGCCGGCACGCTGCTGGCATGCCTATTCTATTTACCGCTGTTCGTTAGCATGCCAGCACTGAAGGTCTGAACCCCATGGACTTCTTCGGGAGGTGTTATTCTTCCTTCATTCTTCTGTAACCTTCTATGGGTTCTCTCGATCGAGCACACTATCCGTAAGCAATCAGACATATATGGCTGACAGGGTGCCTTCCTCGACGTACACTCAAAAAATCACGATATTCTTGGAAGTATTTCGCATAGTTGCAAAATCATACGACTAGTCGCATTTACAGACTAATCAAATGATTTTACGTCCCATGGAACTTGAGGTGTTTTGTCTAACAATTTTCGTTGTGCAAGAAAAATTCGGCAGCTTCAGAGGCGTTCATTGGTAGGTGTTTTGCACCAAGTGGATTTTAAGAGGAACTGTGCATATGAATGACCATCTGCTATAAAAAATGCTAGATGTCGTAAATGCTGTCTAGGCAGACAGTCATAAACTGTTAGAAAACGAATTAAGTACTACTGCACAACAATCATGGCAAGACCTTGCAGAAGATGTTGCTACTGTGCCTTGGTTTCTTGAACTGCTACGATTACAATATGTACGCATTTTGCACTCATTCTACACCTGCAGACGTCTGACATTCATTTACCATTTTCATGTTGCAAGATTGCACCGACTCGGCCAAAAAAAAGCTTCGTCTAGTTGCTAGTCTGTGTAATCATTCACTGTGATCGACTTGCCCTTACGGGTATATCTGAACCATGGCAAGCTGTGGCGAAAAGTTGGCAGCCGCTTAGCACGTTCATCCACTTTTTTGCTGAACAAGAAATTAGATGAGCATATGGTCCCCTACTCGAAATTATTGATGCTCAATCACAGCTAAAAGCCAACAAACATCCATGACAGACCCCGCCGTAGCACGGTAGATTTACGCAAAATTTTTTGGTACGAGGCTGTGTGAACATTTGCTTTAACCCTGAATCTCGACCTCGTCATGCCAGATACGTACTTACCAGTGGCGTACCCAGGATTTCGGCTCGGGGGAGGGGCGCGGCAAAAATTTTTTTCAAATGAAGGTGCGTGGCGTCAGCCAAGCACTCCGAAAAATTTTTAGAGGGGCTTCCAAAATTTTTGCGGGCCCCCAACCCCTAAAATCTGGAAAAAGGGGGCGTGGCGTCAGCCACGCTCCCGAAAAAATTTTTTTTTCTATAAGGCTAATTTGAATTTTTAAAAAATTTTACAAATTATTTTAATTGTTTACAAAAATAAACAAGCCACTTGCACATTTTTATAACCTATGTAAGTAACTTTCAAAAATTTCGCGACCCGTTCTCGGGGGGGGGGGCGCCCCCCCGTCCTCCCCCCTCGGTACGCCACTGGTACTTACTTATATACTCAGGGCCTCATGCATTAACATCCCCACCGGGGAAGGAATCGTAGCTCAAAAGAAAGCTTTATTTCCTGAAGCTTCAAATACCTGGATTTTACGCTGTCTACCTATCCGTAAGCGTTCCCACCATCCTCCACTATGAACATATTGAACAGTGCCGAGAAGCTGTACAAGCCGCATATTCCAGCTTTTTGTATGATTTCCTGAAGATCCCCGGCGGCCGAGAGTATTTTCTCCAAAGTCTTTTTTCTTTCTTCGTAATTGAAAAACATTCCAAAGCTGTATCGATTATCTAACCCACCAGTGGTCAGCATGCTGTTGATAAGAACATATGAAATTATGGAATCATGAAATTTGCGATGAACACAGATCGAAAGGGTTTGTTGAAATTTTTGAAAGGGTTTTGATATTTCAAACATTCATTTGTTCTCATTAGCTGCATGCTTAGCACTGTTGTTTAGGCGAAAGTACAACTTTGGAAGGCTTTCGTTAAATTCGAACAAAGGAAAATGACTTCAAAGAAAAGACCGTCAGCCACCGGGGATCATCATAGGATGATACGAAGAGCTGAATTATGCAAATTGTACAGCTCGCTCCTGTTGAATATGTTCATAGTAGCAGGAGGTCACACGGCGTGAAATCCAAATATATGGAGCTTCAGGATATGAAGCTTTCTTTGAAGCAGCGATCCACTCCCTGGCGGGGATGTTAATGTATGCGGCCCTTGACGGCCCGTCTTCACGCGATGTGAGGGTCCCAGCACAGAAGTTTCCAGTGATCCCTCTCCCTCGCTTCAGACATCCTCTTCTTGATTGCCATCCTTAGCTCCGCGAGTTCCAAAAAAATCGTATCCAGCTGATTTCTCAGCTGGTCCACCCGTTCCACGAACTCCTGCCCATCCGGTTGGAGTCTTCCTCGAGGATGTTTTGCTTCGCTAATGTGCATCTGTCGTCTGTTTTTCTCATGAAGTGAGCGGCCCATGTATACTTCGCTTTCGCAACGTATTCCGCTGGGTCACAAAGACGGGACATTCTTCTCATATCCGTGCTACGAAGTCATACACAAACAACATCTTGTCGTAATTCTGTGGATGTCCGCAGAGCTTTCGACTGGCTATAAGGTCTACCCAATCTCAATTGCGTTACAGACAGCCGGGAGAACCCTGAGCCGAACAGATGAGCACGAAGCGGTCCGTCAGATGGTCGTGGTCCTTGGGAGGCCCGGAGGTCGCCCAAGCTGCTCTTCTTCCCCTGTTAACCTCTTTCCTCAATTCGATCTTCATGTTCATTAACACATTGACGACCGTCTGACACACATGACACACATGTGTCAAGGCTTGACACACCATGTGTATCGTTGAAATGGCTGCTACTGTATGTTAAACCCACTCCGGCAGTTCTCTTTTGTGCTGGATTTAGACACAATCTTTACTGTTTTTGCCAGCATTCCAGAGTTATTGTAGGTGTACTGTGGACGAAACTGTGCGTGATTTTATCTAAAAAATGTTGACCGGTCCGTGAAACGCCTTGGTCGTCAATGTGTTAAACGTCGAAGACACACGTAAGAAGACGTCAGCGTAAAAGGGATGCCCTCCGATATTATTTGTGTGTCTTCGCAACGGGCGTTCTTCATGAAGAGTCCTCCTCCAACTATTCGTTCCGATCTTCTTTCCTTTAGTTCTTTCAGCATCGTCTCTGCTTCACTGATACCATTCGAAAAGAGAACGATAACGTCCGGAGAACAACAACAGGTCAACAAGAATCTCCCATCAACTCGTATGCCTCTCTCGTCCCAGTGACTTCATCACCCACTGCAGGGCCGGGGTGAACAGCTTCGACGAGATTTTGTCGCCTTGTAGGATTCCCTTCCCAATTGAAATGGTCAGGGGACGATGGAATAGCTGCATCGTCCTTGTACAATCCTTATAACAGTTGGCTAACGTCCTAACGTAAGCTGGGTCCACTCCTTGATCGACTAGCGCTGACAGGATTCCGTTGGTTTCGACGCTGTCAAAGGCTTTCTCGTAGTCGGCGAAGGTTAGGACGAGAGGCAGTCGGTACTGCCGGCAGACTTCTATAACCCTCGAAACCGTCTGGATGTGGTCCATGCAGCTGAATCCTTTAAATCCAGCTTGTTCTTGGGGATGTGCTTCAACAAGTTTCCTAGATATGTGAGCGAGGATAATCTTTGTGAGAAGCTCGTACACAACTCAGTAGGCATAAAGACGGTAGTTTTGAAGACCTTCCCTTTCACCCCTCCTAAAGAAAAGGGCTTTCGTGAAGTTCCTCACTGCTCGGAAAACCTTTCCTTCTAAAGCTAAATTGTCAGATGCGACGTGAGAATCTCGAGTAGACTTGTTCTTCGGCTCACAGAAGTTTGACGGAGAGAGTGTCTGGTCGTGGAGCCGTAGAAATCTTATTGTTTGAATCGCGGTGCGCGCTTCAGCAGGTAGAATCCGCGGTGGTTCTTCAGGCATCGGCACAGGTGTTGGCGAGCGGAAGATGTTGATGTAGAAGTTCTCGCGATGGATTCCATCTAACATCGGGAAAAAGTTGGGGCCCCGTCTTTGTTCAATGGTGCGGCCAGCGGCACGTGACATTTACAGAGATCCCCTTGTCATTTCTTAAGACTTCGTCTTCCTTTGGCTGCTTCCAGTATCTTGGCTTGCCAGTACTTCCTGAGATCCTTCCGCAAGGTTGTGCAACTAGCAATGGCTATCCATCGCTCAAGATGGATCGCATTCGGATTTTGCCACAAGAATCTTCTTTCGAGCAACTCTATGGTGGTTTTGAAATGCGTTCTGAGTTCTTCTCGGAAGTCAATGGGGCGTACTCTCCGCAGGCTCGCAATCTTTTCAAAAGTCGGTCGGTTGCCCGTTAGGTCCTCCTCGATGGGCCGGTCACAATCTGATATGAGATCTTCTAACCTGTTACTGTCATAAACGACTTCTTTTCTTCCTGCGGCACTATGGCAGACCTTTTCCAGCTTTCGACTGAATCGTACCTTCGCTCGAAGGGGGGCGGTGATAGGAGTCGCTGCAGAAGGATGGAACTATTGAGACATCGAGCAAGCTCCACCTTCGGTTGGTGAAAATGCGGTCGATCTCCGCGTGAGTCGTTCCGTTGGGCATTCCCATGTCCACCGGCAATATTCTTTTTCCAGGAAGATGGCCGTGGAAAAGTCGTGCGGCGGAGAGAAGCCTAACAAGACGGTTGCTGTTTTCGTTCCGGAGAACATATCCAAACTTCCCGA